CATGACGGGGACGGTGCTCAAACATTGCACGTTCACTTTGGCCGTATCCATGTCTCGCAGTCGAGCCGTGGTGTCAAAGCAGTTTGGTTCGACAACCCTGCAACGGTCCTCTCAATTAATTCGGGCTGTTAAGCATTCGTTAATCCACCCACCCATTATTTCAATAAAGGGCGCATAGGCAGCCGGGCCCCACTAATGATGGAACGATGGAATTTGAATTGAATTCAATTCAACCTAACCGGAGCCTTTCCTTTTGTTGTCACTTGTATGGTAACAACCTAGATGGGTGAATGAAAACAGTGGCTCCAATCGATGCTCTCCGTACATGACTGCTGGTATACACAATCAATTGCTGCTACAGTTTTTAGTGGACGTTGAATGTGTAGGGTATTCGAAGCCTGGACCAAAAGAACAGCGAACAACTCGTGCTCTACCAGTGCTCCACAAACTAACACGTGCGTCAACCGGGCTCCAGCTAAATGTAGTGGGGCTACTTAAATTTCTGAATTTACCCGCTTCATCCCCACCCACCATGAGACCATTCACCTTTCAATGGGGATCGTATGACATTGATGTACTAACTATAAGTTCTGAAAATTTGCTATTCTGGGCCACTAACTAACAATGGAAGGATGGTAGGTCGAAGTGGACCGTTCAAATGAGATGTATACCACCTGATGCGTCTCCAGACGCTGATTCCAAATCTGCCTTCCTAATCTTAAGCTTTATACACGTTATTTAATCAATAGTTACCTGAAATTGCCTACACGAAGAGTTTGGCAGCAGTTGCTGACAAGTCTAGCACTGTTCCCGGTCAACTTTTCAGGTTAGGTCAAAATTTCAGATTTTGCTGAAAATTCGTTCTATGGGGTAACTTGGCACCCTGATGACGAATATCAAATTCGTCTTGCGCGAAAACGTGTGGCACGCGCACTACGGGCGAAGAGAACAGTCATGGGAGCAGGGTTAACTTGTCAGCAACTGCTCGCAGTCACTTATAGGCAATTCTAGACAAGAATTGAAGAAACAACAACTATGAAAGTCCTTCTAAAAATGTTGCAGACAAAAGCAAAGCAACAAACCCGCGACGGAACCTGGGAGCTTCTTACCTGCCAGCCCGGACCATCACCACTGAGCTATTACGCTTCATAACTCCGTTCGGAGAGCCGTTTAGCAGATTTGGAATCAGCGTCCGGAGACGCATCAGGTGTTACACACCATTGCATCACATCACATTTTAAACGGCCACTGCGACCTACTATCCTTCACTTGTAAGATGGCTATTCAACTACATCGAAGCGTGTGCCTTACCTTGACTGTCACATTTTCATGTCAAAGGGCGGACGCTTTGTTTCATGAGAGTGCGAAATATGAGCTTCAAAATCGGCCCATAACTTGGAGTAAAAATTTGTGTACGTTTATATTGCACTCGTTCAGTTACGCCTGCGACCTTGACACGCCAAGTCGGAAGGGTTTCCTGCATTCACTGGCTGGTCATAAAGAAGACGATCAAGAGCAAACGACAATGCGGCCTAGCTTAGCTTATTGGAGTAAGCCACACCTCTGACATTCACTTCGAAACGACGAATGAAGGCGTATTTAGTTGAAACCACAGAAACAGAACAGAAGTCGTATTCATTATTTCCTACGTTCTCAGCTGATTATTTTGTTGAATAAGCCACTGCGCCAGAGAACGGAGATCAGTATGTAAGTCTATGTAAACGGGATTTCATCTTCGGGCTATGCGTCCAGTGGAGGAAGATCTTGCCACTGTTTTACCTTCATCCCTCTGGAAGTGTATTGTAGTTGTGAATGCGAAGTATGGTAAGCCCACGGTCCAGAGATCTCATAAATATTTTGCGAAAATTAACCAGCACCCCAATTTTGTGTAGAGCACGAAATTCCTGCCTCCATCTCCCTTTCTTCTGTAATACTTGTTGGCCCAATTAGATGCCGAAAGAATCGACCACACCGTAAGTAGTGTAAGAATTAACATTACTTTAGCCAAAAAGATAAAGTATGGTGATGAGAATTTTTCCAATACGATTGTCTCACATCTTAAAGCCACTTACCTGCCTTCATCTTCCTTTCTTCTCCCCCCTTGTCTTCCACTTTACCTTTTCATCAAGATCCCGCACATTCCACCTTCTCTATCGCATGTTTAAAAAACCCCTCAAAAAACCATGCACTTGTCAAAACTTACCTTTTAGCAGATTGTGACCCTCCCTTAAGGTTACCCACAGAACACTAGATCTTCTAATCACTGGGAGCCTCAGGCTTCTTCTGCACGGAGAGGGGCGAACTCAGACACACAAATCTTTGGCACTTTTTTGTCTTTCGTTTTCACATAATCTTCAACATGAACTTTGCTGCGACCGTTACCAACAACGGCAGGCTTATCTCTCTCTCGGAGAGAGTCTCTCCCTCTCTCTCACTTTTTCACGGCTATAATCGAAGAAAAATCATTCTATACGCTGATGTACAGAACTGTATGACGTAGCTTTCCCGTGACGTTTTACTGGCGAGTAACACAAGTCGGTCCAGAAAGCCACCAATATGTTATGTTATTGTTTATTGTTTATTGTTTCGTACGTCAAACAATAAACAATAAACAATAACATAACATATTGGTGGCTTTCTGGACCTACTTGTGTTACTCGCCAGTAAAACGTCACGGGAAAGCTACGTCATACAGTTCTGTACATCAGCGTATGGAATGATTTTGCTTTGATTATAGCGATGTTAACTCATCTATCTCGTCCTTGAAGGGCAAAATCACGCTGGAGAGGCAACCCATTTCAAATTAGCATGGAGGATGGTGAGTGGTACACGAAAGAAGGAAAAACCATGAGAAACGGCCCAGAACCCGAGAAATGGGACCCCTTCCTTGCCCGTTGATTTGAGCATTGATGCGACTCTCATCGCTGTGCCCTCTTCAACACTACGCTCTCTCACCTATCTAATCACTCGCCACGTATAGACCTGCGGCGAGTGATCAGATGATCGGTGGGCGTGCACTGGCCCACCGCGCCAAGATTGAGCCATAATAGGTCGCCGAGGTCAACTCCTTCGGTGCCAATTGCGCTTCAGTTCGCACCCTCAGGAGGTCCGCGGGTCCCTCAACTAGGTGAATTTACTCCTTCTTCGACCTTCATTCTAATCGTGAATTCGTCCTTTAAGTTTTGCGCACCAGCGCATAGAACTGGAACAAAACGGGGTTAGAAAGGATGGGAAAATGTGTGCATACATTGCATAGTTTCATAAATTAAAGAATACCCAGCAAGTTGTCAATGCTTAGCGTGAAGTACAATGTTATTTGGTGGAATTGTACTTGCAAAATATTTACGGTGAGGAGCAGAATTCATCCTTTATCATTATTACCTTACTCTGTTTTTCATCAAAGAAGAACCCTTCAAAAAAAAACCTCTGCACCTACCGGAAGAGTTTCCCATCCTTCATCATGTTTGTGGTGCCATCCTCACGATGATCCAGGGTAACGAACCCGGCATAGCCAAATTTCTGAAAGAATCTTCAACAGCTCCAAAATAACCCAAACGGCTCACCGTCAAGCATCTGCTGACCAAATTCCACATACACACAAGAGGGTCATATGTACATATTTTCATTACCATTGCCGCCCTTCCAAGGACTTTTCGTGGAAAAGGAGAATGTGACTAGACGAAAAAAGACAAAAAAGAGTGAAGGGGCCCACTGAGGACTAGTTTCTATTTCACGATCTTCATCTCTTCTCACTTCTCGACCCCATACAAACCTTTTGAAAATCCGGGATGTTCGTTGGCAGCACATGTGCGTGTACGTCTATTTTCCGGCGATTGCTTACTGAAAAAACTTATTTCACTATGTTTCAACACACTGAACTTCATTGCTCTGTGGGCGATTATTCAAGAATTCAAATCTCTCCTGACGAAATGCGCGCTTTGCAGTGACGTCACTGAGACATGCACGTACATAATTGCACGTCTACAACATCCAGGGAATGAGCTCGTGTGAGCGCGCAGGCGAAGAAACTTCGTCAACTTCGCACGCCGAGGAAATATTTGATTGAGTTTTGCACTATTTTCACAAACAAATTCGTCTCGGGCCGGCGCGTGTGGTTTGAATTCAATTTTCGAGGAGCCGCCGTCCTCGGCTATGCTTACCACCATCATCAACGCGATGGAAATGGACGGATGGCCGTGTGAGGGACATAACATCCGCATAAAAAACCGAAATTCAAGATATCTGACAGCACTGATTTATTTTTGTTTATGGCAGCAATTGGCGGTGGAAATATTGCCGCCAGAATGCTGAATTATACGGGTGAAGACTGAGAAGCCACAATAAGTCACGGCACCATCCCTAGCTCACAAGGGGGGGTCTTTCAGGGCAAGCCGCGCTTTTTCAAAACGGTTTTTGCATATTGTAGGGACGCATGTAGGGAACACAAAACCATGTTTCATTTTCGCTGAACGGTTTAGCAGTACCAAAAAAGAAGCATAAGGTACTGTTCGATCCCCCGTGGCGACTAAATTTTGCATTTGGGTTGGCGCCTACGGTTTGGTGCCAAATCGCGCTAAATATCAAAATCAGATGTCAATTCATCGTCAGGACCATTTTGAAGCCAACAAGTGGCCGCCAACCTTGATTGCAAAATTTAGTCGCCGCGGGGGATCGAACCATCAAGGGTATCATTCACCACTTTTTGATACTACTGAAAACGTTTCACAAGAATGCTGGGTTGTGAACAAAACTTTCGCCCCAGGCGGGACTAGAACCCGCACCTCTCGCTTTCCGGGCAAGTGCGCTACCAGTTACGCTACCGGGGCACCATTTCATCCCAACTTTATCCTACCTAACGAGCAAACGAGAAAAGGAGCAAAAAACGACAAACTAGTCACTAAAAATGGCATACTATGACAACATCTCTTCTTTATTTATTTCCTCCACAAGACTTACCAAATTCTAGTACTACACAGATTATGGTTCTCAATTTACACGTCCCCCTTTCGCTTGAAAGAAGCCTTGTAACCGCCTTCGCCAGCTGTGTGTTGACTGGACTTTGGCGTTGACCGTGGAGCAGCTTATTACTATTGAAATTTGAACAAATATTCAAATGATTATAACTTTCTTCAAATATGACGAATTTTCAATCTGAAAGCAGATTTGGGAGTTTTGTGAAGAGCTCTTTTCTAATCAGTATTGAAATTACAAAAAGTTATAAGAAATAACAAATTTAGATCAATTAACGAGGAAAATTCATGATGAGCACGAGTTTTTACACTTTCCGAAGCCATAACTTGCTTCATTTTCGTCAAATCTGAAAAGTTAATATGGCATACAAAACTAGAAGATTTTCTCTATCAAACGGTTGCTAAAGCAGCTTCATACGTCCAGTATTTAAAAAATGGCCACGTTGAGGATTTTTGCAAAATTAACGAGGAAAATTCGTGATGAGTGCGAGTTTTTACGCTTTCCAAAGCCATAACTCCGTTCAAACTCATCCAATCTGAAAAGTTAATACGTCATCATAAACTAGAAGATTTGCTCTATTCAATGCTTACTAGAACTGCTAAATACGTCCACTATTTAAAAATGGCCACGTCAAGGATTTTTGCCCGAGAACCGCCGAAAGGTACCCTTTCAGAATCCTCTTAATTTTTCCTGAATTGAGATTCTTTCTCCAGAGAGCCGTAGTTGAAGCGCGCGCAACAACTGGGCCCACTCTGGGATGCGCCGTGTGCTTCACATCCCTTCAGATTCGAGGACTCACTTGAAAGATAAAATATCCCTTGGAAAACGTGCGAATTTCGGATTCTTTAACTTGTGTGGTGATAAAACACTGAAGTAACTAAGAATTGCTAAGACACCTCTGAATCACGAAGATTTTGTGTGGGCGGAATAATTGTTATTGGAAATCCTCTGGCCATCCATGGCACGATGTTTGTCCTCCGACAGTGATGATCCTACTGCATCAATCCGGCCCGATCTCTTCCTCCCAGCGGGCCAATACGACCCCCCCCCCTTCTGTGACGTGTCGAGGATTCCTCAACGCACGCTTAGACCCTGCTTTCGCAAGAAATTTGCTAGATATTGCCCTACAACCATCCGAACATCAGTTGAACGTTAGGCTTCCCACGTGGCTGAGGAAGGCTAAGTGGGAGCGTGGGGGGGGGGGCTCAGTGGGGTTTGGGCAGCGCTAATGCTTCGTCCTTGGCTCTTACCAGGAAGGTCTTTCAGGGCGTGCCAAGCTTTTTGAAAACGGTCTTTTGCATGATATAGGGGCACATGCGGGAACCACAGAACCATGGTTAATTTTTCCTGAACGGCCCTCTGAATACCAGAAAAGGGGGTCCCTAGTTCGATTCCTCGTGGTGACAAATTTTTGCATTTCGAGTTGACGTTCCAAAATTCGCGCAAAATGGAGTTAGAACTGAACAATCAGAACTCCATTTTGCGCGAATTTTGGAACGTCAACTCGAAATGCAAAAATTTGTCACCACGAGGAATCGAACTAGGGACCCCCTTTTCTGGTATTCAGAGGGCCGTTCAGGAAAAATTAACCATGGTTCTGTGGTTCCCGCATGTGCCCCTATATCATGCAAAAGACCGTTTTGAAAAAGCTTGGCACGCCCTGAAAGACCTTCCTGGTTGGCGCCGTAGGCTTGCCAAATCGTCCTGCGAACTCTGCATATGCTCAAGGCTTACGTACCACTACATAATCCTCGGGGAAAAGCTAAAGTTCGACCAAAAACTTCGCAATTAAAAGCGTTTCTACCGAGAATTCAAAAGAGCGTGGAGATTTAGTGAATAAGAAAGTTCTATTCAATTTTGCTTCGAATAAACGTAACAGTCATTGAATGGATCAATCTCGTACAAACACATTGACAGTTAATCATTCGCAGAATGCTGATAAACTTTTGCCTCACCCACGCAACGTGCATGCTCTAGTTTATAGCAGACCTTTAGCAAGTATTTGTTTGAAGGCTTGCTTAGGGTAGTCCTGCAGCATTAAAAGCGGTTGCATTCAAAAAGGTGGTGGGATATTCATCTAATTTGCATCTTTTTCCCTCGAAGAAGAAATATTACGTGTGAACTGGGCGCAGCGGATTCTTAAAAACCGGAACAATTGCAGGGTTCAAGGCCTACTTCATAACACATGCTTGACAGCTCATGAATGCTAGTGGTTCTTGTATTGAGGAAAGAGATCAGGAAGATAAGGCTGGGAGACTGATATGACTCCACTGATCATGCGACGGGTCTCGAACGATGCGATGTCACCCGCACTAACAACTTCAACTCAATTCAATGAAGATCAATGAACAAACATGATGGCCACAAGTTACGGTAACTAAATGAAGCGGTCATGGAAAATCTGTACAACTAGAAAAAAACAAGTGGAAAACAAAAACATGTTCACTGAAGGGTAATGAACGAAAAACCACATGGTCCTTCCCAGTAGCCACTATCCGTTTTGAAAAAGGCCGAAATTTTTCAGAAAATGAGCTGACAGTGGCGCGTTGGCAGACGACCTCGAGTGCGTTCCCAGCCTTACGAAGCGGTTTCTTACCAGGAAGGTCTTTCAGGGCGTGACAAGCTTTTTGAAAACGGTCTTTTGCATGATATAGGGGCAGATGCGGGAACCACAGAACCATGTTTAATTTTTCCTGAACGGCCCTCTGAATACCAGAAAAGGGGGTCCCTAGTTCGATTCCTCGTGGTGACAAATTTTTGCATTTCGAGTTGACGTTCCAAAATTCGCGCAAAATGGAGTTAGAACCAACCAGAACAATCAGAACTCCATTTTGCGCGAATTTTGGAACGTCAACTCGAAATGCAAAAATTTGTCACCACGAGGAATCGAACTAGGGACCCCCTTTTCTGGTATTCAGAGGGCCGTTCAGGAAAAATTAAACATGGTTCTGTGGTTCCCGCATGTGCCCCTATATCATGCAAAAGACCGTTTTCAAAAAGCTTGTCACGCCCTGAAAGACCTTCCTGGTTAGATCCAATAACGTCTCCATTATGTCAACAGGTTCGTCTTCACCACTATTCGTGCAGCGTAAAGCAATAGATTTGAGTTGGGAACTAAAGGTGAGCACATTCCAAACGCATAAATCTCTGGGCAGTTCGGCTGGCAAGAAGAACTTCAACGGCAAAAACGACGAGAACTTGTGATTTTTCTAATGGTAAGTAAATTGAGTTTCGAATGATTGGAAAAAGAATTACTTGAAAACCGATACTGTAAAGCATCCCATATAGCCGCATGACTCAACATTACTCGACTAGAAGCGCTCAGAAAATATTCATCTCGCACATACGTCATGGGGCTGAATCAGAGGCAGTATTGGCATTTTGCCATATGCACCGCAGGCATACGCACTACGCGACTCGTCTTTGTAGTTGCGACCATTCCTTTTTCATAGGTCAGTTTTGCCTGTGTTTCAGAGTATGCAGTTCTTGTGAGCGCCAGAGTGAAAATCGTGTCGAGGAAATAACCGCCTCTTTACGACCCCCCTCCAAAACATGAACTCTGATACGACCCCTTTTGTCCTCTGCACATCCGGTTTCATATCAAAAAATGCTAGTTTCAGATGTGCGAGAGGGACGCAGCGCCGCTGCCACGCAAATGCGGCTTGATCCAAATGCTAGATTCAATTCTGCTCAGATTAGGCTTCTCCTTCTTTCCTTAAAACATTTAACCTTTGCCACATTGGCCGGAAAGTAGAACATTGAAGGAGGTACTGCCTACACACAGTTGAACAGTCTCGCGCTCCAGTATAGCGGCGCTAACTACCCGCGATCGCGTCGCGCGCTGTGCCTAGAGCGCGCTAGTTGGAAAAATCGTCAAATGTACCCCCTATTTAAAGGACTATAACTTTCTTCATTGATAACCATTTCAGAAAGTGAAGGCAGCTTTTGAATGCACGAGACTTCTAGTTTCTAAATTGTGCTGAGCGTTTTTCTAAGCACGCCTATTCTCGAGAGTGGGAGACGTCGAGGAATTGTCGAGGAAATTGAAATTTACATGCGAGTTCCCACTCTTTGGAAGACAGTAGCTGTCTTCATTGGCAATGCTTTGAAAATGAGGAAAGCGTTGTAAAGTAGAAGATTTACGCTTTCTGATAGGTGCTCCAGTTGTTTCGAACATTTCCTAGTTCGCGAGAAATCTGCGTCGAGGAAATGCCGAGGAAATTTCCTAATCCCGTTGT